ACCCCTTGCTTGGAACTGTATTAGCATTTCCGCAGTCTCTTAAAGCCGCCGTGACTTTGGTGTCTAAGCAGGATAGCCCAGACTGCATATGCCCCATTCCTGCATGCAGAGAAGTTATTGAAGAGATACAACCAAGCCAGAATAGAATCCTCAGACCACATTCAGGGAGTTGAATGTTTACATGATCTAGGGAGAGAATGAGCACAGGGCTGGCGTTTGTCCAGGCTCAGGTGGGACAAGGGTGTGCTGACGTCTCTGTGGGTCAGGAAAGCTTCATGGGAAGCACTGGACTTCCACACTGCGGGCCCCTAGGACACCAGCTGGTGCCGAGTGCAAGGGCAGCCCTGGGACGCCACCTGGTGCCCAGTGCAGGAGGGCAGCCCTGGGGGTCCAGGCAGTCTCTGCTCAGGATGGAGTGAGCTTCAAGCCAGCCCTGGGGAGGTGGCCGGCTTCCTCCTGCCCTGGACCCAGCTCGGGGTCACAATCAGTGAGCCCCAGTTTTCTTCTTCCAGGTGCTGCCCCATACCTGAAGACCAAGTTTATCTGTGTGACACCGTAAGTGGCTTCCTTTCCCAATTTGCCTTCATTTCGAGTGTCCTCAGTCGTCCCGGGAGGAGGACACGGGTGAGAGTCACCCTGTGAGGGTGGAAGTCCCTGGGTGATGTTTAGAATTCAGAGTGACCTGTGTGTTTAAAACCTTGAGCTTTTACTTTTCTGTTGGAGACCAGAGTTTGATGGCTTGTGTGTGTGTGTTTTGTTCTTTTTTTTTTTTTCTCCATTGTGTCTTGTCAACCCGGCCCTCTCCCCTCCCGCTGCTCCCCATTTCCTACAGAACGACCTGCAGTAATACCATTGACCTGCCGATGTCCCCCCGCACTTTAGATTCATTGATGCAGTTTGGAAATAATGGTGAAGGTGCTGAGCCCTCAGCAGGAGGGCAGTTTGGTGAGTATTTGGTTGACAGGCCTTGTCCCCTTTGTGTCCAAGAGCTGGTCACACGAATTGGTAGAAGGAGGTTCTAGAGCAGCGCCCTCCAGTAGGAACGGAACGTGTGCCACAGGTGGAAGTATACATTTTCTAGTAGCCACGTTAAAAAAAAAACAGTAAAAAGAAACAGCTGTGGTTAATTTTAATATGTTTTATTTAATCCAATAAATCCAAAATTTAGCATTTCAACATGTAAGAAAAACTTCATGAGATTTTTTTCATACTAAGTCTTTGAAATCTGCTGGGTATCTTACAGCTACGGCACATCTCAGGCTGGACGAGCCACACTTCAAGTGCTCAGTAGCCACCTGTGGCTCCAGGCTGCCGCATTCAACAGGGCAGCCTTAGATCTCCTTTAAGCATGGAGAGTTGGGAATGAGTTAAGGTAGGAAGGAGACCGAGCCTTTCCAGAGGGCGAAACCCTGTAGGGAGGAGAGTAAATCTGGATTATCCGACCCTGTTTTGGCCAACAGGGGCAGGAGACTGGATGGCAGCAGTGGTCTGAGCCTCTGTCCCCTGAAGGGCTAAGGGTGTGTGCCCTGCCAGCTGTAGGGCTCAGGCAACTGAAATCGCTGTCCTTGCCTGTTCCTCAGAGTCCCTCACATTCGACATGGAGTTGACCTCGGAGTGCGCTACCTCCCCCATGTGAGGAGCCAAGGACGGAAGCCGAGCACAAGATGCCGGAGGCGCCTACCTGTGTTCACCACCCCTCAGACAGCCAAACCCCAGAGCAGCTGAACTCCTAACTTTGTGGTTCCAGATTTTTTTTAATCTCCTACTTCTGCTATCTTTGAGCAATCTGGGCACTTTTTAAAATAGAGAAATGAGTGAATATGGGTGATATGCTTTTATCTAAATGCAAGTAAGAATGCATTCTCTGAGACTGTGATCAGGGGATGTGGAAGGGGCGGCAAGAGGGAGAAAGAGGCAGTGTCTCGTCTCTTTTGCTCCCCTGCCCCCTTTCTCAGCAGCTTTGTGTTGTTGTTGTTGTTGGCTAAGTGCCTCTTGGTGCCGGTGGCATCCCTCTGCCTCTTCTGTACACTGATGCCGCAGGCCACCTCTGGCTGCATGCTCCTGGTGTTGCACTTTTAACCTTGCTAATGTCCAAATAGCAGACAGGATTTTCAAAGCCCATAAGTTTCTTTTTAAACTTAAAAAAAAAAAATTTCAAAAGGCAAAACCCCTGTGCAGGCATAGCCTTTCCTGTATGTAGGAAACTCAGTTAAGAGCCTTCTTGGTGCTTTAGGCATTCAGCTTTCTTCAGGCTGATAATTTATATAAACCCTGAGATGGGCTTCAGATCCAACTCTTCAAAGACATCTGAAGCTGTGGCTTGGCCTTTGGCTTTGAAATAGAAAAGTTTAAGGAGAACTTAAACATTCTAGACTTTTTTTTATAAACAAAGTTTTTATTTTTGCCTTTAATGTGTTGGCCCATTAGTAGGTCGGGCTGGGCAGAGGGACGCTGACAGCCTGTCCTCCGTTTCTCCCTGGACTTCCGCGCCTGTTTCAGAGCCTGGGTTGTTTCTGTGGGTGCCTTATAAGGGATGGGATGATCCTTGGGTCCTTCCCCGTCCCCCTGACCCACCTTGTGGCGAGGCTCCTTCCAGTGTCTAAAGCTCCCTGTCCTGTTTGCTTTAGGAATCCTGGTCTCAGGACCTCTTGGAATAAGAGGGAGAAAGTTACAAGTTGGACGTGACTTAGACAGTGGGGCCCCAGCCAAGGGTTTGGTTGAGCTCAGGGAATATGGTTCTTGTCCCAGTTTCTTGGTGATTCCCGGGGCACCTGTAATCGCTTCTTCATTGGTTGACCCAGGGGCGAAGGCTCACTGATAAACTCGAGGCCTGTCCTTCCCGTGAGGGAGTGTACACCTCGGCCTCCCTCCAGTGCTGGTGTCTATCTCCTCCCACTGGGGCCCCGCAGATGAGGCAGAACAACTCACATTTACTGTGCATTTTGAATACTTAGTAGCTTGCAAGGTGGTCTCTGATATTTGGGCCTCCTCTGACCCAGAGGCATGGCTAGATTGGGTGGGCCAAAACCGTGTCTCAGCTGATCACAATTGCTACAGAATGCTGTATGTTATACCCAAATTTTCCGGTTTCTAAAGCAAGGGGATGAGGCCCTTCTCTCCAATTCAAACAGGGATTGCCCTTGGCCATGCCTGTCCTCCTTCCTAGAAAGGTTGATAGATGCTACAGAGCTCTCCCTTCTCCAGCAACACTCTTTGGTTCATAATAAGCTTAACTCATAAACTGAAAGAAGATTTAGATCAGAGGGACCTGGCGCTAGGATCCAGGCTCTCTGGAGCAGGTATTGTAATGTTTGCGGCTTTGAGGTAGTGTGTGTATCTGCTTTTAACTCTGATTGTAACAAAAGTTCTGAGAGGACCTGAGACTTGTCCTGGCCTCTCCCTTAAAGAACCGAATCCTCCGGGACTTGCCCAACCCCAGCTCAGCCCAGCCCAGGGATTCCCATGGATGGCTTAACCTGCCTGTATGGCGGTTTGTAAGATGCTGTCCTGGCCACTGCATCAAATTCCAATGTATACTTCATAGTGTAAAAATTTATATTATTGTGGGTTTTTTTTTTTTTTTTTTGTATATTGCTGTATCTACTTTAACTTCCAGAAATAAAAGTTATATAGGAACCGTCTGATAGCGTGGCAGCTCTGTGTCTGGTTGGTGGAGATTCCCTTTTCCCCTGCTTCAGTTCAGGGCAGCCTGACACACAGGCTGAGTCTGAGTCTTCAGAGGAGATGGTTGCCCTTGCTCCCGGCTGGTCGCCTTAGCCTCTCATCCCAAGTTGACGCAGGCCCTCCTAGCACCCCCATCTTACGTTAGCCAGCAGCCTCCAAGTGGGGGTAACTGGAGGAGCCAGGGGTCCGGTACAAAGGTGTCTGCGTGGAGGCCTCCCTTCTCCCTCCTTCTTCCTCCCTCCTCCCTGCCCGGGCCTTTGCAAGCTGTGTCCTGTCTGGGGTCAGATAAGCTACCTAAGGGAGGTTGGGGCGAAGATACTCCCACTCCACCCCCGAGGCCTCCCCTTCCACAGTTGCTCCATTATCACTTTCTCTTCAGTTCCCCCAGTGGGATGAACTTAAACACGTTATTAACTGGCTGCTGCTGTGCCCTGGGCAGTCAGTGGTGATAATCCACTGACATCAGTGCGCCCACTCACTGGCTTCCCCCCCACCCCTCCCCTTGTGCCGAGTACCATGGAGACGGAGCCTGGGTGTGAGATATGAGCTGCCTTCCCCTGCAGAGATGGAACGGCAGATTACTGCCACTCAGGCGGTGGCGGCTGGCGGCTGCTTTGCTTTCCCTCCCCACCCACCCCCGCCAGCCCCGCTCTGGGCCCCTGCAGCTCCTTGGGGCATGCTGCAAGCCCCCCTAACCTTGCTTTGAGCTCTGAAGAAACCTCGACAACAGGTCCTTGCTCCCGAATGTCCCCCTACCCCTCAAGGACCCCAGTGACAGCACCTGCACCTTGGTGCCAGGGGAGGCCAAATGGGGAGACTGTCCCCCTCTTGGCCTCAGCCGCCCTCCCAGTCTCAGGCCAATAATTAGAAAGCACAGTGGCAGTGGGATGGTGCCACCTGCTGGTCTCTGGGAAGAGGCCAGGGTGGGTGGGACTACTGAGGCTTGTGCTGCCCCTGGCCCGGAAGGGCTGAGAGTCTTGGTGGCTCTGACCCTCAGCAGCCAGCTTCAAGACTGCTTAGAGCAGCAGCTGAGAAGGAGAGACCCGGACCACAGTCCTTCCCCGTTCCTTGTGCCCCCACCGCCAGTAATTCCTGCCCCATCTTTTCCCCAGACCTCGAGTCCTCGTGCTTTAGCCTGAGAATCACTGAAAGTATTCCAGGGGTGGTCGGCACCTTAAAACACAGAAAAGGAGCAGAGTTGTAGCTTCAGACTACACGTTATAGTGTCAGCCACACAGGAGGAAGGAACAAAGTGACTCCCACTCCAGGGGTCCCCATTGCCCAGGGCTCCCCAAACCAGGAGCCATACCAGCAAATTTATGAAAAAAATATTTTATTCAAAAACACTGTTTACACAAATGGGTGGCGTATGTACAAAGTACAAAAGAATCCCTCTTCTCATCCCCACCTTCCTTCAGAGATGTTTAAACCTGAGACTCGCGATCTTCTGCCACCAGCGGCCCCGGCTGTGTGTCATAGGCCTCAGAGGGAGGGGCATGTGAGCTTGGGAGCGAGGCCTTCTGAGACCAGAGGCAGTTATGCAACTGTGGAGGCCTGTTCCAGGTTCCGCCTCCCAGCAGAGGGGACGGAGATCAGCTCTTACCCTCGCTCCAGATTCCACAGGCATGCAGCAAGCCGCTCACTGGCTGCAGTTTTTTCCAGGAGGGGAGGGGATCAATTATGCAAGTCCCAGGCCCCCTGTTCACCTACTATGTCCTAGACCGGTCCCTTCCCCGCTCCCGCCTCCCCCATAAGCAAGCTCGCAGACAGACAGGCAAGGAAGAAGCCTGGGGCCTGATGGAGGGGAGGTGATATAGAGCGGAAAGAGGGAGTAGGGTCATGGGCAACGGCATCATAGACTCAAAGCCCAAGACCCCTGGCTGCAGGCCAAGAGGCCACACACAGCAGCTCTGACAGGCCCAACTGACCCATTTCTGCTGTGTTAGGGACATGGCCAGGGTCTAGATAAGCTCTCACTTCACAAGAAGTCTGAAGTCCATATTCATCAGATAAAGTATAAAATACTACTCAACTGAACCCCAGCCTCCCTCCTGAGGGAAAGACTCGATAGACCAACACACGTGCCTGAGAACAGATTCACAGGCATAAATGCACACGTGTGTCCAGGAGGCGAAGCTTCTAGCTCAGGAGTAAAACTTCAGCTTAGAGACGTTAGCTGTCTCCATTCCCCTTCCTGAATAATTTCATTCAAATAGCTGCTGAGCAGATAAAGGCAGGAATAGGTTTCCCTCGTTGAGTACCTGCGACAACAGAAGAAGCTCAGTCTCTTCTACAACAGAGGCAGACCCTGCGGGCCCTTGGAACGCCTTGATCTGAAGAAAAAGGCGGCTGCTGCTGCTGCAACCACATACCCAGGACGGCAAAGGCGAGGCAGGCACACCTTGTGCACAAACACACACACATATGCACGCGTACATGTGCTGCCTGCATAGGCATCAAGATGCACAGCAATACTAAAATCACAATTAATATGAACCCTTCGCATTGAGTACTGTTTGCAAAGAAAAGTGTGGGATTCAAACATTCACGAGAGCGAGCCTCTGGCAGAGGTGAAAAGGCCAGCAGGCGGGGAGAGGCGGGGGTCCAGACTGTCCATCGGGCGCCGTAAGAGTTCCTCCACGTGCCGGGCTACATCCATGGTCTCATCCAGATCGAATTCTCCATCCTGGTCGAGAACGGGATCAGGGCTGGTAGAGAGAGAGGGATATCAGAGGGAGGTGGCATGACTCACAGCCCCTGGCCTGCTCCCCACTCAGACCCGAGTCTCATGGGAACTGGACCAGCTGTGGCCAGACCCGCCCCCCAACCCCAAGTTGAATAAGCCAGTCACTGGCTCCATGGGGGACACCCAAGTTCTCGTCTCATCTCTTGCTACTTCACTGAGTGATCTGAGGGAATTCATTTTCTCTGTCCCTGTCCTCATCCATAAAACAAGCTGGTTGGGTCAGTGAGCTCTGTCCACCTACGACACCATTCCATTAAACCAGAGGCACCATTCACTGGGCACCACAGTGGGCCTGGCCTTTCAACCACAGCACAGCAATCCTCACAGCCACCTGTAACGTAGACATTTATTCCACTTTATAGAGGAGGAAACTGGGGCTCGACCATGTTAGGAACACGCTCAGGACCATCTGGCTGGCAGGCAGAGTCAGGACTGGAATTCCAGTCTTTGTGACTCCTAAGCCTGTGGTCACCCACTGCAGTTTATGCCTCCCAGGCATCCAGACTTCCAGCCCAGGGCACCCTCAGCTCAGAGGGAATTAATTCTCTATCCTGGGAACTCCAGAGAGGAGCAATTAACACCCTGTTCCCACCTCCCTAAGAAGGACCACCCCTCCATGGTCACCCTGTATCAAGCCCTTACAACAGCCTCGCCGTGCTAAATGCTTTAGCTGCACTCCCTCACTTAATCCTAATCCCAACCCCATGTGGTAGGTAGTCTTGCCTCCATTTTACAGATGAGGAAACTGAGCATCAGAGAGGCTCAATAATTTTCCCAAGGTCACACAGCTAGTTGGCACCAGAGCAAGGACCCTGCTATGTGTAGCTTCAAAATGCTCTATGCTTTTACTGATTGATCTCTCCCTTCCTCCCGCACCCCTGCCAGAGCCCGGGCTGGGCTGGGTGGTCTCAGCCCTAGAGAAGCTCTGGGTTCCTTTGCCCACCAGCCCTCCAGGGGTCCAGCCTGAGGCCAAGTGCCCGTTCCTCCCCGCGGAGCCCCAGGAGAACACAACCTACTTCTGTGGGTACATGTTATAATGAGCCTGGGGACACACAGCTGGGGAGGGGGCCTGGTCCATGTAGGTGGCGCTGCCCCCGGCAGAGTCTGCAGATGCGCTCACAAACCTGCGGGAGGAAGCAGAGCAGAGCCTCAGTGGCCTCAGGGCAGCAGCTGACTGGGGAGGGGCTCAGAGGGCATCTTCATGTCTTTTTTGGGTGTAAAAGGACAAAGCGCCCACTGGGCCTGGGACTCCGGCTGCAGGAGTGGGCCCCGGGTACTGGCCCCATCAGGACCAAGCCCAGTTCCCTCCCCAGGGCTGAGCCAGGTTTGGGGCGGGGAGGGAACGCTGGGCCCATGAACAGGAGGGGGTGGCAGGGATGGGTGAGGAGAGCGGGGGGAGGAGAAAAGAGGCAGCAGGAGACCAGAGCTGGACCCTGGACACTTACTCAGGGACCACTTGCTTGATCTGTGGCTTCACGTATCCGTCCACTGCTTTAGCTGCCGAGGGGGGAACGGTGATGAGAACCAGTCTCCCGGAGCTCCCAAGCAGTCCACCTCCCCCACCATGGCCGTGGGGCCTCGGCAGGGATGAGATGTCCCACAGACTCCCAATAAACACTGGCTGACAGGTCCAGCCTGAGGCCACTCAGACCCTGGCTTCGGTGTCATTCCTCCTCCTGCTTCCTTTTCTGGCCATTTCCTGTCTCTCTCCCCACCCCCACCCTTGCCAAACGCCACGGAGCAAACCCAATCAATGGACTGGTGACATGTTGAGGAGGAAAAACCTGTCCATTTTGCTTCCTACACTCAACTTGGGGGCAGGTTTGAGGGTGGGGAGTGGTGAGAGCAGCTGATTCAGACGGGAGCCGTGCAGTATCTGTGGGCTTAAACTATCCTGGCTGCTCCCCCGGAACTGCAGCCTCTTCCTCCAAGGGCACAGAAGTGAGAGTCCACTCAGCTTTGCACTTTGCAGAGAAGAAAGCCGGGTCAGAGGCTTCATTTTCCCTCTCTTCAATTGTGAGCCCTGAAATCCTCTGCACGTGCTTTGCATCATCCCAGTAACCAAAATCCACAGGGGAAATGGTCCCTGGGCTATTCCTGGGGAGTCCTGCTGCCTAGCCCCGAGAGCTTTGTCCATGGGGTCTGCCCAGAGCATGAGGGCGGGACGCACCGAGCACAGGAGTGTAGTACTTGGAGAAGACCTCATCCTTAGGCCGGTCAGGAAACACGTAGATGAGATAGTTCAGGTCCCCCAGCCGGTCGGCCAGGGACCGGATGGAGAAATCCCGCGTGGTGAATGGCTTCAGGTTCCACAGGTTGCGGTCAGCTGTGAAAAGGACAATCTCATTTCCACAACCCATGGCCACCAGGAGGAGGATGGGGGTGTGGGGTTTTAGGGCAGGCTCGCAGAACACCCAGGCTTTTACTAGCCTGCATTGCAACCCCCCTGTGTGCTCCTCAGCATAGGGCAAGGAAGTGACCACGAGAACATTCTACCCAGCAAACTAGGTGAGTAGATACCAACTGGGCTGGGTCAGAGCAGAGTAGGAAGGTCTCGCCCAGCAGTTCTGGAGGCTATGGGGCCATGATTTTAGGTTCTCCCAAATGGAAAATGATAGAAAGGGAATGCATTTCTGAGCAACACTCCTCCCAGACTCCATACTTAGTTCCTCCCTTTCCCAGCAGGTACCCTCTAAGGATGCAGGCCTGATGGAGAACAGGAGCAAGGAGATCGAGACAGGGTTTCTGAGGCAGGAGTGGGGGCAAAACAGAGTGCTCACGAGAGTCAAACTTCCAGGCGATGGTGATGCCCCCAATTTCTGAGTCGCTGAAGCGCAACAAGAAGGTCCCATCTGGCTTGTTGATGAGCAGGTCATGGGCCTGTTGCTTATTCACAAAACCTAGGATGGCCCTGGGTGCATGGAGCATACGGTGTCACTGCTGGGCCAGCAGCCACTGTCCCCTGAGCCCATGCCCTCCCAACCCCCATGGCCCCCATTCCTCACCCATCATTCCAATGGGGCTTGTGATGCTTCTTCAGCACCTCCATGACCCCATCGAACCACTGCCAGAAGGTGTAGTTCCAGCCAGGCAGGTTTTCCTGCGAGCCCCCCAGAAACCCAAGTCAGGGCTTGTGTCCCAGTCATCACAGGTGGCCCAGGGAACAGTCAGTGCCCTCTCATCTTCACCGAGACCCCCTCCCATTCTCCCCCTGAGGGCCCCACACTCCAGCAGTCCACAAACTGACGCAGCCCCCAACCTGTATCCTAGGGAACCAGAGAGTAAACTCAGCCCTGCCCTCCCAGACACGAGTCCAAGACATCCCACAGGCTGGGGTAGGAGGGGTAAAGCCTTGTCCGAGCGGGACGAGACGCCCAAATCATTGCTGCCCAGCCCCTTCATTTCACAGATGGGGAAACCGTGGCACAGAGAAGGGTAGGGGCCTGGAGAACTAGTTAACAGATCTAGGACAAGAAGCCAGGGATCCTGACTGCCAGCTCCAGGTCCTTCCATCGTCCCGCTTTGGCTCTCGTAGTTGAGCAGTTTCTTGCAGCCCCTGCCTGCATTCCTGGGGGCACTAGCCCCTGTTTCTCCTGATTGTAGGAGAGGGTGGTTGGGGGTACAGGGCGGAGCGCTGACCTTGGGCAGTAACCTGTCTGTGAGGTGGGGGAGGGGTGGCAGGGCGCAGGTGGTCCCGGGCGGGCAGCTGGCAGCGGGTCCCTCACCCTGTTGAACTGGGCCCAGGACACGGCCATGCTGTTGTAGTCCTCCAGGTGGCTGCTGCTGCTGTTGAACAGCTTCTGCGCCAGGAACACGAGGTTCTCCTTGGTCAGGCCTCGGTTGCTCTGCACTTCGGCCTTGAATTTCATGTTGAGGGCTTCACACAGCTGCGGCCACAGCACTTTGTCGGGCACGGCAAATGGCACCCTGCCCTGAGAGCGAGGGATGAAAGGGGAAAAAAAGGCAGATTGTGGGGCTGGCCCCATGGCCGAGTGGTTAAGTTCGCGCGCTCCGCTGCAGGCGGCCCAGTGTTTCGTTGGTTCGAATCCTGGGCGCGGACATGGCACTGCTCATCAGACCACGCTGAGGCGGCGTCCCACATGCCACAACTAGAAGGACCCACAACGAAGAATACACAAGTATGTACCGGGGGGCTTTGGGGAGAAAAAGGAAAAAAAAATAAAATCTTTAAAAAAAAAAAAAGGCAGATTGAAGGGGTAGGAAATATTTACACACACACACACACACACACACACACACACAGACACACACATATAGACATACAGGTACTAAGAGACAGAGAGGACTGAGAAAGCTCCAGAAAAGGAGATACAAACACAAAGGAAAGAAAGACGGGGGCAGAGGCAGCGGGGTGGGCATGCTGGGGTAAGGACCCAGACCAGGGGACTGAGGACAGAGACCAGGGACCTGAGCCACAGGCGCGGGAAGATCAGGGACCAGAGCCCAAAGACCAACTCGCCAACCTAGCAGACCCCAGCTGCCCTCTCACCTCACCTCAGCTCTGGTCTGGTCCTGGGGTCGGGGAGGACGGCTCATCAAGGGCCCGAGGGATTGGGGCTGACCCTGGGAGACTCTGAGGGCCCGGGGGTGCCAAGGTGGGGGTCCTATAGGGACTCACCGGCTCAGCGAAGGCATTGTCCCACAGCACAGTGGCAGTTGCATTATGGTCCTGGCTGCCGTGAACGATGACAACCACAGGAAGGGACAGGGTCTGTGGGAGTCAGAGGAAGCAGAGTTGAGGGCGTACGACCGCCATCTTGCCCTCCACTCAGGCAAGACTCCCAACCCTCATTCCTCACCCACAATCCCAACCACAAGCCCCTCCCAACAAAACGAAAGCAAAAACCAACCAAAAAACACAACGCATTTCTTCTTGGCCCATTGCCTAAGTTCTGTGGGCTGGTGCCAGATTAGAACCTAGCAAACGGGCACCCGCGGAGCCAAAGTAGGCTTTCTGACAGCATCAGGGAGTAACTGGCCCGAGACTGTGCGAGGATTCACAGCGCTCTGGCGCTCCCCAACCCGCCAGGGGGCCTCAGGCAGGTGCGTCACCGTCCTGGGTGATCCGCGGGGCAGGGGAGAGGGGCCTCACCTTCACCTGGAACACAAGCTCATTGCTGCCCACACTGAACTGAGACTCAAACAGGACCGTGAACTTCTCCTCCGTCACAGACTCCGCACCCCGCCGGTCAGCGCGCTTGATCCTCTTTAGCGACTACAGGGCAAGGTCCAAGGGCGACAGGGAGACAGAGTCTGGTTACAAGGACTCAGCTCTGGGCAGACCTTCCCTGGAAGGGCCGGCCCTGTCCTCACCATGTTCCTGAAGTGGGCGCTGAGGGTGCCGGTGGCCTGGTGATACTCCATCACGCAGCAGTTGTTCAGGATCTCTCCACTGCACTCGCTGCCAAGGAGAGGGAGCCCCATCTGCACACGGGCCCCAGGCCAGGAGCATGGTCCTGTCTGCACCTTGGGCTGGGGTCTTCACTCCAGAAAGGCCCTGCCCTATCCCCTAAGAGTGTCCCTCAGTGTGTCTCTCGGCTTACTTTCTCAAAACCCTGAGAGTACCCAAGCAAAGTCTTCAAGGGGTCTGGGTCTCTATCATTAGGTTAAAAATTCCTTGGGCATCAAGATTGACGTGGGGGCCTTTGGGGGCCTCCAGCAGCTTCTAGTACACTTAAAATTAAAATCTTGATCCTATAAGGATCCCCATGATCAACCCCTGCCCACCTCCCTAGCCTCATTGGGTTCCTCTCCCCTCACTCAGGACAAGTGAGCCACACTGCCTTGTCTGTTTGCTGAGCATGCAAGCTTGGTGCTACCTCAGGACTTTTGCACTTGCTCTTCCTATAGCCCCAAACACTCATGGATCTAGGCACTCAGTACACACACCAAGTCTCTCACTTCACTCTTCATTCCCTCATTCATTCATTCACTACACTCTTCACGGGTGGCCTGCCCTGACCCCTGGAACCTTGCCTCCCCTCCCAGGTCCTCTATACAAACACGTCTATGCTCCTCCTTCAGGACAAGGCCTATGTTCTCTCTGCCTGAAAGTCTTCCCTCTCCACACTCTTTCAGTAGCCACCTCCTATTCATTCTGCCACCTGAGACTACTTGTCATTCTGCTCCACCCCGCCATGACCCACTTCCACTGTGTCCTATACATTTCCCTTGTCACATCCCAGCAATTGTGTCTCGTGTCTGCTGCTTGCCTCTGCAAATCAAGAGGTTAGGCCAGGACAGAACCAAGCTCTATTTGAATCACAGTTGTGTCCCAGCGCTTAGCAGATGTCCTAGAACACCCCAGCAGCCCAGTCCTTGTGGACCTACTATGTGCCAGGCACGGCAGGGACTGGGGAAGGCCTCTGAGCATAAGGAGCAAAGAGTACACCAGGACAGACACAGTGAACTGGAGAGACACTGGACCACATCTGCAATGCCAGAACAAAAGGCTGCAGGGAGGCTGGCCACACTGTCCCCATTACACAGGACCCCAGCTGTAGAATAGAAGTGGGCCCCAGACAGGGTTAGGGAGAAGCAGAGGGTGGAGGGAGGGGCACGTACTTGCGGGTGTTCTCGTTCTTGAGCAGCGACTTGGCCTGCTGCTCACTGATGATGGTGGCCTTCACCTGGGGGGGGTTCATGTGCACGTTCAGCTTCCCGCCCACCAGCAGGCGCACAGTGGCTGCGAACTTGGTCTGGGTCTTCAGGACCTGAGGGGGCTGCTTCTCGATGATGAATGTGCTGTGGGAACACAAGTGACCAGATGCTGCCTCAGGGGACTGCGCTCTGGTCCCTCTGCATGGGGAGGCTGCCTCAGCGGGTGACTTAGGAGCCCGTGTCGCAGCCCCTGTTCCCAGGGAGGCTGCTGAGAGTCGGGGGAGATGGCGAGAGGGGAGGCAGTGAAATGACCTCAGCAGCTGGCACGGGCCGCAGGGGACGAGGGCAGCCCTTGTAGTGTCCACAAGAGAAAATGGGCAAGGTCAACACCAAGAGGCCACAGCAGCTGGGGACGGAGGGGGTTGAGGGTGTGAGGCAGAGAGAGACAAGGACTCAAGCGAGAGTTCCCATCTGCAAAGCACCCCTCCCTCCCCCAGGCCAACCACATGGGGGGTGGGTGTGGCCAAGACGCAGCCATCACCTGGTCACCAGGGCCGAGATGATGTCTGTGATGGTGGCGTTGACCTCGGCCAGCATCTCCTCCACGGGGCCGGGGATGGGCAGCTGCTGGCAGAGGTGCTCAGCTCTGCGGATCTGCTGCCGGTTCTGCCAGATGATCTCGGCCAACTTCTCACACCTGCACAGCAGCCCCAGGGCCAACGGGAGGACAATGGCTTCACCCCCATGTCCCACGCCAGAGGTGGGAGGCTCTCAGGCTGGGGAGAAACCCCAACACCCAGCTCCACCCTTCCCCAGGAAGACTCATGCCTTAGCCACCACTCTACCCACTGAGCGAGCAGACCTGCCCTGCCTTCTGGAGACACAGAGAAACACAGCAGGAGTCGCCCTGATTTGGGCCCCACCAGCATGCCCATCACTCTACACACCCGGCCCTGCCCTGCTCCCCAACACAGTGACTCCTTCCCAGGGAAGACGGTGTGATCTGGGGGCATCAAAGTCTGTATGAGGAACTGGAACCACTGGTGAAATAAGACCTGTCCCACGACAGAGCGAGCCCGCTGCACACGAAAATGCAGGAGGCAGAACAAGCAGCTGGTGGCACCACATTGAGCCCCTGCCCGGCCCCGCCGGCCCTCCCTGCCTGCCTCCCCCACACCCATTACCAGGACTGGAGCACGTCCAGGCTGCCCTCGGGGGGCCCTCCATTCCCGGCCAGCTGCTGCCGCCGCTTCCACTGGATCAGTTCGTCATCCAGAATGATGGTCTGCTGCTTCCGCAGCAGCTGCAGGGTCTTCTGGTGCTTCTCGGCCAGCTCCTGAGGGAGGTGGGGACAGCAGGCCCTTCTGGGCTCCCAGACAACAACCTGCAGGCCCTCACTAAGGAGGCGAGCCCGGGACCAGGCCCCAGGCACACGCTTTGCTCCGGCCCAGACCTGCTCTGCTGCACGTGCCCCCACAGGAAAGAGAGATCTGGCCTCCTGTTCTCCCGAGTCCTGCTCTCTTCCTGGCTCTAGCCCCATTCCGGCCCCCTGGACAGCCCGGGATGTGGACCTCCGGGCCTGGGAGGAGAGGGATGCAGACCCCACTCACCACGCGGTACTGCTGCAGTGTCTGGGCCTCGCGCTGCAGCCAGGCCTCCAGGGACACCTGCTTCTGCTGGAGGGCCGTCTCCCGGCTCAGACGCTCCTGCGGGTTCAGCTGGGCCAGCTGGGCAAACTGAGCTGGAGGAGGGACAGGATACCCATGACCACGGCCTCCAGCCTCCAGCAAGAAGCCCAGAGGAACCACACACACCTGTTCTGGAGACAAGGCCTTCAAGGGGACACATCTGACCAGGGGCAAGTTGGGGTTCTAGCCGCCAAGGGTGCCCAGAGCTGAGTGGGCTCCGCTCCCTGGCCTCCCGGCTCTGAGCTCCCCTCCAGGGAGTGGGGAGACAGAAGCTTGGGGTACAGCCGAGGACAATCCTGCCCTGCGGCCTTCCGTCCCACCCGAGCCCATCCAGCTGGCTGCCCAGCCCTCCTCACACCACACGGGGGTCTGGATGGGAGCCACGCTGCCTGGTTTGAAGTGTGCCCTCGCCGTTTACTAGATGGGTGATCTCGGGCACATCGCTCTCCTGTGCCTCAGTTTTCCCATGTGAAAAACAGGAGAACCACAGCACCTGCTCAGTGAGTGCTGTGAGGAGTAAACAAGTGATGAGCCAGAAAATGCTCAAGAGAATGCCCGGCATGTGTAGCTCTGGGTGAGAGTCAGTCCTTCGCGGTTAATGGGTTACAGGACGGCATTAAAGGGTGACGGAGACGGCAGCTGCCCCGCCCCACCTCACACGGCAAAGCCTCAGCGGGAAGGCCCCGCTCCGCTGCTCCGTCCCATTTCCTGGAGCACACCAGCCCCTCCTCGGGGAAGAAGGCGTCTCTCCAGGTGCTGGGAGGGGCCTCACATGTCTGTCCAGGCTGGGCCCCCTCGAGCCCAGGCGGCCAGCCAGGAGAGAGGGGAGACTCCGAGAGAGGGGGACAGAGTGTGCAGGGCCCGCTGAGGACACAAAAGCAGCAAGATTCTCTCAGGAAAGGGAGCGGATTCCTTCCACAGGGGCTGACAGGAATCTCATCAATGGCAGGAATGGGGGTCAGTGCGGCCTCACCACCATTTTCAAAAAGTCTGTTATGACAAACTTCAGACACAGGGAGGCGGAAAGCATGATGCAGGACACCTGGGTACCAATAACCCAGCTGGAGGAATCAAACATCTCCACAGCTAAAGCCACCTGTGCACTGTCTCCTGCTTGCAAACCCATCCCTCCCTCCAACGGTAACACTGTCCTAAACGTGGGCTCACCACCTCTGCCAGGAGCCTTTCCAACCTCCCAGTGTCCTCACTCAGCTGCGTGAGAAGATGTGAGCGTCAGCATGTCTTGGTCAATCAAGTTCCTGGCAGGCCTCTGAGGGCCATGTCACATTGACGTAGGCCCTGCCCCACGGATGCACAAGCTGGGACAGACTAAAGCAACTCTGCACAGCCAGGAAAAGCCCAGAACCAGAAGAGAACTGAGAAACAGGGTTCCAATCGCACCGCAGGGGACTGAGCAGGAAGAGAAGTGTCCAGGCATGGAACATGGCAGAGGAATCTGGACGGCCGCCTCGGGAATCCTGCCACCCACAGGGAGGTGGTGGTGAGCCCAACACCTGGGCCCAGCTTCCCCAGGCAAGTGACCCAATTAGTCTCTCCTGGCAATTTGCAGAAGCTTCTGGGAAGGATGCCAGCAGACGCGAGGCAACTGTCTGCTCCACTGGAGGGAGCCTAGCCTTTCCGTGCACAAACAGGTCAATAGTCTGGGTTTCTGATGGGTGAACTTGGATAAATGGGACTGAACTGACATTGCATAATGAGTACAAACCCAAACCGGAATCCAAACCCAAACTCATAAATAGGAAACAGAAAACCAAATATAGGATCAGAAGTACTAGCAACCAGTCAAAAGCCTTGGGTAGAACTAATAGGCTGAAATCTTCTGTTCCTGAATCTAGGAAGAGGGTCATCCTTTCTCTGGGGTCAGTCTGGGGTGGATTCAGACGGAAGACATGCTAGAATCATCCCACCAACATTCACTCAACACCTACTATGATTCAGGCAATGTGCTAGTCATAGATACAGAAACTGCTGACAGGGCTGGCTTAGTAGGAGAGCTTAGTTAAAAACAGAATTCTAACAAAATTTAAATAATAAAAAAACAAAAACGGAGAAACAGAGGAACAAAAACTGAAAAGGGATAAAACAGAAAATAAATATTACATGTAGACCTCATGTAACTGTATTAAATATTACATTAAACATTAATGGACTAAACACCCCAATTAAAAGCAGAGATTTCTGGGGCTGGTCTTGTGGCCTAGTGGTTAAGTTCAGTGCACCCTGCTTTAGTGGCCCAGGTTCAGTTCCCAGGCGTGGACTTGTACTACTCTTCAGTGGCCATGCTGTGGCCGTGACCCACATACAAAATAAAGGAACATTGGCACAGATGTTAGCTCAGGACAAATCTTCCTCAGCAAAAAAAAGAAACAAAAAACCCCAACGACATTTCAGAATAAATACAAAAGCAAGACTCAACTATATGCAAGGTACAGCTAAGTTAAAAAAAAAGCATAGATAAAGATATGCTGTGTCAATATAGAATATGAAGGCTGAAATAGTTATATTAATATCTGATAAAGTATACTTCAAGACAAAGAGTATTACTAGGGATCAAGAAGGATATTTCATAATTATTAAGGTGTCAGTCAGAAAGACATAATCGTAAATGTATATGCATCTAATAAAGCTTCAAATACATAGAGGAAATATTTACAGAAATAACTGGAGAAGTAGACAATTGTACAATATAATAAGGAAATTTTGATACCTCTCTTTCAACATCTGATAAAACAATTAAGCAAAAAATCAATAAAGACACAGATCAGTGGTTCTCGAAGTGTGGACCAGGGATCCCTCGAGGGTTCCCAAGACCCCAACAGGGGGTCCACAAAGTCAAAACTATTTTCTTAAGGCCATAAGACCTTATTTGCCCTTTTCTCTTTTAGTCTCTTTTAAGGATACAGTAGAGTTTTCTGGAGGCTACAGGATATCAGATATTACGACAGATTGAAAGCAAGATCCAGCTGTCTCCTATTAGGCTTAACATTAAAGAGATTTGTAAAAATATAAAGCAATGCCACTCTACTCACCACATTTTGTTTTGGAAAATATGGATGTTATTGGTTTTTTGATTTGGGGTTGTTTTTGGGTAACACTTTATTATGTAAACATTATATATTATGCTATATAGGTTAACATTATTGAATTTATTGTTGCTATTTTTGAATGAAACAACTGGAGAACATATATTCTTTTCAAGTCCACAAGATACATTCACCAAGACAGAGCATATGCTGGTCCATAAAACAAGTCTCAATAAATTGAAAAGAACTGAGATCATACAGAGTATGTTCTCTGACAACAATAACATTCTATAACGAAATGAAAATGAGGTCACTAGTCATACGACATGTAGAAAAAAATAAATATTTGGAAATGAAACAATATACTTCTAACTAATGTATGGGTAAAAGAATTAACCAGAAGAGAAATTAGAAAATATTTCAAACTGAATGAAAATGAATATAGAGCATATCCAAAATCATAAGATGCAGCTAAATCATTGCTTAGAGGGAAATTTATAGGTCTGAGTATATCTATGTTTGAAAAGAAGAAAGGTCTAAAAGCAATGACCTAAGGGTCTACCTTAAGAAGCTGGGAAAAAAAGAGCAAAGGAAAAGGCAGCTTGACACCTCCTGTTCTCACTAGGCTGGGGTGGCACAGCTCTGGGGCCAGTCGTGAGTGGGAGGAAGATGGGCGATGTCTCAAGACTCCTCAAATTGTACCTGGGGTTAATTCCTTCTGAATTAATTTTTCTTCCCCCACACTTCTATCATGGCAGCCATTGGCCAACTACAGTCCCAGGAAACAGGAGTTTTCCACTGTCACCTCCTCCTTCCAGCTCCACTTCCTATCAGTGGGCATTCCTGGAGTTCCACCTCTCCCTAGCCTGGTTCAATCAGGGGACTCCCAATCTGAGTCCTCCCTCTGATTGGGGAATACTTCGTCCATATTCATTCATTCATTCATTCATTCACTGAGATATTCACTGAATACCTACCATTAGGGAGAGACTGTTGGTTAGTAAAGCACAAGGGTTTTATGACGCATCTCTAGTTGAGATCCAGTTCTGCAACTAATACAAGGAGCCCAGGCCAAGTTACTTGTTCTCTTTGAATCTCAGTTTTAACAGGCATAATACAACTACCTACTTTGTAGGGCTGTTGTAAAGGTTGAATTGAGTAATGCATGCAAAAGCCTTCGCCTGGAGCCTGGCCCACTGCAGGGGCTCAATCACTGAGAGCCACTACTCCTCCCAGGCTTTGGGTAAGCCTCTGCGGAGACAGATTCCGACCTAGCCCCGACCCAGGAGGAGCTCACAAAGTGGTCCTCACTCCCATCCTCAAGACACACCCTGCCCACGCCGCAGGGCCTCACCCTGGATCCGCAGGCTCTCTTGATACTGGATGATGAAGTACTCCTGGGTCTGCTGCAGCTTCTTCAGTTCGTTCTCCGTGTCCTGTGTGACCAGCCGCAGCTCCTCAAATGTCTGGTTGATCTGCAGGTGTTTCTGGGACATGGCGTCAACCAGGATCCCAGCAGGGGAAGTACCCTGGAGACAGATGGGGGGAGAGTGCAGGCAGCGGTGGGCTGGGCAGTGAGGATGGGAGAAAGCCTCAGGCGTCGGTGAATGCTAATACTATGGACCCCAAACTCCAGATCTAGAGTCAGAAGGGCAATTTGAGTCAGACGGACAGTCATTTGCCAGAATTGGGGGGGGTGGGGAGGCGGAAAAAGAGGAAAAACAAGTGACCTGACAGAAGCATAGTGGAAACTTTATTGCAGATCTGCCCTCTACCAGAGTTTCCCAGACAGGATCCATCTAAATTCTCTTTGGAGAAACTGGAACTCAACACATTTCAGGAGTTACCTGGGTTTTCCTCCTAAATATGATGACCCCTCATTCTACGTTCCACATGACCTGACACCATGGACTGTGCCCGGTGCTGGGCAGACAGTGGGGAACAAGGCTATGTGAACACACTTTGTCTGCATCTTCACTCAAGACATTCTTGTGACTAAGACAAGAGGGAAGAGGGTTAACCTCTCACAGGCGGTGTGCTGGAGACCCCAAAACAAACTCAGAGGACAGGCATCCACAGGTCTCCTTGGATCCAGCCATTTAAGTGACCTGGTCTGATTTATTCTTCAACACCTGGCTGAGAGGGGACCAAGTCTTCAGGGCCTTTCCAGTGAACAGTTCTCGGAATACAATCCAAACTCCTTCGCCCAGCTCCACCGCCCTAGCGGACACAGCCTCTGCTTCCTCCGCCCCCAGCTCCGCTGCTGCCGAGCACACCAGCGACGTTTCGTTCCTTGAAAACACAAGCATCTTCCTACCTCGGGGCACTTGTTGCCTTTCCACTTGTTGTTCCATCACTCTGGAACATTCTGGCACCAAATCTTCCTGAGGCTGGCACTTCAACTGGCACCTTTTCAGAGTGGCCTTCTCTGATGGGCCAATTTAAAATAGCACCACTCTTATCTGAAAGTGTCTTGTTCTTGTATTTGTTTACTGCTTTCTTGTCTGCCTCCCTGCACTAGGATGTGAGCTCCCTAAGTCCCAGGACTGTCTTGTGGATCACAAAAGCCCCAAGCCCTAGGACATCAGAGGCATTCCAGAACAGCTTGTTGGCTGGGGGAGGCAGGATTTCCCCCAACCATGACAACACCTGTGCATGAGACATGTACTTCTTCATTGGGGCCAAGTTTATTGGTATTTTTACAGATAGCTCTGTGATTGCAACAGGTCAAGGGACACAAGGGTTGTCCCGGAAGACCCTCTGGGACCCAGCTTCTGCCTCCTCTCTGGCTTTACCAGTAGCACTGACTACGTGCAAGTCTTCAAATGTGATAAGATGGCTCATGCTTTCCTGCCCTCACATGCACTGTTGGTACTTTTTTTAAAGATTTTATTTTTTTCCTTTTTCTCTCCAAAGCCTCCCAGAACATAGTTGTATATTCTTCGTTGTGGGTCCTTCTAGTTGTGGCATGTGGGACGCTGCCTCAGCGTGGTTTGATGAGCAGTGCCATGTCCGTGCCCAGGATTCGAACCAACGAAACACTGGGCCGCCTGCAGCGGAGCGCATGAACTTAACCACTCGGCCACGGAGCCAGCCCTGCACTGTTGGTACTTTTGACTAGAAAACTCCACCCTCCCCCCCAACCCCCCCATAGTTCAGACATCCCTCTCCTCAGAACACCCCCCTGCCGCCTCCGCAATCTGAGCTGGCTATTTGTCCATACATGCCTCTTCTGCACTCGGCTCACCCCTAGAGAATCTGTCATCACCTGAATCCCTTGTAGTGGGGCGCCAGGCCTTTAGCTGTGTCTCCAGCCCCAGCCCAGCATCAGACGTACCGCAGGGCCTCAAGAAATGTTTCCTGAATGAACTATACGATCGCCCTAATCAGTGTCCACAACATAAATAAATAAATAATAAATACGACCTGTGTTTTCCAGGCTCTATTCAGTGGTCTTTACCTATGTTACATCAATTTATGAAATTCATTTTGCTTTATTGCAGATAACAGAACATTGGTATCATTGTCTAAGCAGATGTTCAATGCCTTTATGATCAGAACTTGGGAGATGAGTCCCTGCTCCACCTCTCTGAGTGTGCCACTGTTAGCTCTTCTGACACAGACCTTGGCTCCATTTTCCTCACAGACCCGTCCACAAAATATTCCTTTTTCCTTTTTTTGGGGGAGGGGGGGGGAGGAAGATTGGTCCTGAGCTAACATCCCTTGCCAATCTTGCTATTTTTCCTTGAGGGAGATTGCCACTAAGCTAACATTTGTGCCAACCTTCCTCTATTTTGTATGTGGAACACCTGCCACCACATGGCTTGATGAAGGGTATACAGGTCCATGCCCAGGATCTGAACCTGTGAACCCTGGGCCACCAAAGCAGAGCATGCAAACCTAACCACTATGCTACCGGGCCAGCCCCCACAGAACACTTCTTATTTTGGCCCCAGCCCCATTTAATGAATGACAAACTTTTCCCTAATGATTGTAATGCCATCTCTGACATAGATTGAATTTCTAGATGTGTATATGTGTTTTTAGGGCTTCCTCTTCCATTTCATTTGTCTGTCTATCCTCGGCCCACACAGTATCTCATTTAATCCTTACAATAACCCCATAAGGTAGACACTATTACTATCCCCATTTACAATAGAAAAAACAGAGGCTCAGAGAGGTTAAGTAACTTGCTCAAGTCACACCGTTAGTAAGTGGTAGAGCCAGGGACTGAAGCCAGGGGGTCACTCTACACCTGCATGTAATATTGCCTCTTACACTTGCCCATATCTCTCATCTCTTTGGTGCTCTCTCATTCCTGTGTTTATAAAACACAGCTCTGCGGTCGGCCCAGTGGCGCAGCGGTTAAGTGCGCACGTTCCGCTTCTTGGCGGCCCCGGGGTTCGCTGGTTCCAATCCCAGGTGCAGACATGGCACCACTTGGCAAGCCATGCTGTGGTAGGCGTCCCACGTATAAGGTAGAGGAAGATGGGCATGGATGTTAGCTCAGGGCCAGTCTTCCTCAGCAAAAAGAGGAGGATTGGCAGTAGTTAGCTCAAGGCTAATCTTCCTCAAAAAAAAAAAAAAAAAAGACGATAAAAAAATTTAAAAAATAAATGAAACACAGCTCCATCTGAAGAGAAAGGCATATGGAAGGACTTCCCAACGCCTCTCCCCATCCCTATGGGACACTCACATTGTTGGCTTCTTGGACCAGCCTCTGTTCATTGTACAGAATATGCCGGATGCAGCGGACCAGGTCCATGGGGCAGCGATCATACGTGTTCTGAAAGAATCCAACAGCAGCTACCAGTGGCCACCCTCTGCAGCACCATGCGCACCCCGTCCTCTCCTCCAGCCCCTGCCTCAGCTTTCCCCGGGAGGCCTCAGCAACTACCACCAGCTGCCTCTATCTCTCCTTGACTCAATTCCCCTCCCAGATCTTCATATTTGGTTTTCAGTGCATTAGAAACCCACAGTTTACGAAACACTGCCAATCTACCATCTCCTTTGAGTTTCACAGCGTCGAAACCCTGCGACATAAGCAGAAACTATTATCCACAATTCACAGATGAGAAAACTGATGCTCAGAGAGGTTTACTTGTCCAGAGGCAAACAAGTGAGTGAGCAGACGACTCAAGATTCAGGGCATCTAATGCCAAAGTCAAGGTACTTCCCATCTACTCCTGCCCTGGGTTCTTATTTTGCTTCCCTCTTCCCCCCAGGTTTCTCCTGCTTCCTCCTTCTTCTGGGATGGACTTTATTTCCCTGGCACTGTGCTGCTTGTATTGAAGAAGGGCTCTCTAAGAAATACAAGTGAGTTCCAATAAGCGCTTGACTATGAGTACCACCCACACCCCTTTCCTGCTTCGCAAAAACTTCCTCTCTCCCTGTACTCCTTCCCCTCGCCCTCCACGTGAAGGAGAAGCTAAATCTTACATCAAACCCTGAATTCAAGGCTCTTTTATCCAGCTCCTGCCTCCACGGCACCTCTTCTCCTTCTCCCACCCTACTTCAGCAGCTCTCCTACCTTTAAAAGAGCCCCAAGAGGGATGACTGTTTGCCTCATCCCCTCATTTCTAGAATCTGTCAGTCTTCCTTTCGCCAACAAAGGAATCTTGACTCAGTCTACCTCCAGCCCTTCTGCTTGATCTGTCCAGAATGCCATTTCACCCACCCTCCTTCTCTTGGGGACAAACATGCCCCACGCCTTGCTTTGTAATATACTAAAGGAATCTGACAGGTCTGATTTAAAAAGAGGGGGTGGGGGAAACTGAAGCACAGAAAAGTTGCCGATAAGCTCAGGGTCACACGATGAGTCAGTGGCCAGGCCAGGAAAAAACCCAGGGGTTCTGATGCTGGAAAGAGAAGGCGGACACAAGTTCCCTGGAGATGGCCCAGAGCACACCCACCTGCAGCTGCGTGGCATAGTGCCCCAGCTTGATCTTCAGCAAAAACCCATCTTCCCCCACTTGGTGCTCCGCCTTCTTCTGCAGCTCCTGCACCAGGCCCTCCAGGAGCTGGGTGGCCTGGGCTTGGTCCTGGGGATTGTCCAGGTCGATGGCATCCCTTGGGGCAAGACAGGAGAGAGAAGCCTCCTGTGGCGCCTCCTTGGGCAAGGAGGTCAGGCACCACGAGGGACATGGAAATCCCAGGCTCCTGACTAAGGGTGCTCCAGAGCCCACAAGACTTGTTCTTGGCATCTCCACAGGCATCAGAATCTAGAAACATCCCCTCTCCCCTCCCAGGGTCCCATTTTCCTCTTCCCCTTTCCCAAGGACACGGCCCCTTCCAGACAGAGAGGGATAGACAGAACCAGAATCATACCAAACTACAAAGAGGAGACCTACAGGCCAAGGGGCCTGGATGGTAGGGACGGGCAGAGGAAGGCACAGGGCAGGAGCACCTACCATGGCTGGCTCTCGATCCACTGCGCTAGGTAATGCCGGACCTCGATGGGGAAGTGCTGCCCATACAGCACCTGCATCTGGCGCAGCGCATCTCCCTGAAGCTGCTGGGCCTGGATCCAGCCCGCCATGTCCGTTCACCTAGGACGAAGAGAGGGCTGAACGGGCGCCTCCTCGGCAGAGGCGAGGCCTGGGCCTGCCCGTGGCCCTGCCATGCCCATCCATCCCTGGACCGCGGTCAGGCCATGCCCCTCCCCTCCCACAGACACGCTTTCCTGTGCGGGAAGAAAGACGGTGAGGAGGGGAAGGCCGCCCTTCCCTCCAACAAGGAACCTGCTGAGGCTTGGGGAGGGGCTCTCGAAAGTCAGGTGCCCTCCTCCTCTTCCTCTCCCCTCGCCCCACCGGGGCTTCCCCAGAGGGGGGACAGCTAGAAACTGAAAGAGAAACCTGGCAGAGGCCCACGGGCCCTCTGGGGAGGGCTGCAAGAATCCCCCCTACTCCGAGCCCCAATTTCTGGGAAGGCCGGATAACCCAGCCCAAAGTTAGGGCAACGCCACCGACGGCTTCCACTGGACGGCTCGGTCCCCCAGGGCACGTGGTTGTAAGGAGAAAGGGTTGGGAAGACGGACGCTCCCTCTCCTCTGCGCCCCCAAGCTGTGCCCCACGGTCTCCCACTGCCCAGCCCGACAGCGCCCCCTGCCCACCGCCGGCGAGGACGGCGCCCACCCTCGGCCCCCACCCTCCCGCCCTCCGCGTCCCTCGTCCCTCGTCCGCGCTGCACGCTGCGTCGAGACTCCCTCTCGGTCCCGGGACGGTTCCCTGCACCCCGCCCGGCCGTCGGGCTCCGGGTCCCGGGGCGCGGAGCCGGGGCGGGATCGAGGGCCCCTCGCCGCGCGCGCCGCCGGGACGCGCTGCCGGGCCCCCCACCTGGTGGCGCCGAGCCGTCCGGCGGCGGGGCCGGCTCTCTGCCCCGCGGCTGTCGCTCCGGCCCGGGCTTCTGGCGGCGGCGGCGGCGGCTGTTACTACAGGAAGGAGCAGAGAGCAGCGATTTCCTCCTCAAAGGTCAGCTGCCTCCGATAGACCATACACAGCGCGCGAGCTTTCGCCAACACCCCTCCCAGCCTCTGTCGCTCCCTCCCCGCCTCCGCCCTCGGTCGCTGGCTCCCCGGCGAGTGCGCGGCGGCCGGCCCCGGGGCGGCCGGGCTGGGCGGCGCCGGGCGTGGGGCTGCCCCGACGGCGGGGTCCCCCGGGAGTCCCAGCGGGACTGTGGCGGGCCAGAGACGCAGGAGTGGCCGGAGGACGGGGGTGGAAGGGCCGGGAAATCCCAGGCTCTGGAAATCCCAAACCAGGGCCTCAGTTTTCTCATCTGTAAAAAGGGAGGAGGGAAGGGCTGGACTAGCTGGAGAGCCTTCCACTTCTGGCGCTTGTCATCTTTTGAGGCTCTAGATTGAAAAAGTAAATGTGTGTGTGTGCGCGCGTGTGTGTGTTTATGTGGGCTGGGGACACAGCTTTTGTGACCTCAGAGGCAAAGCCATTGGGAGGGGAAAGACTGGGGATTCCAGAGAAGCCAGCTCACCACCAGGGCCTCCCCTCCGCTCCTTCCATCACTCCCACCACCGCGCACTCACCCAACCTCCTGAATTTTTGCGAATAAGAATCAGAAGTGCAGAGAGGGGAAGGGGCTTGCCCAGAATCACACCCTGGGCACATGGCCTCGTCGGCAGACTATGATCCATAAATGATCCTGCCCCTCTGTTCGCCTAGCCCAGTCACATTTGGGGCTGGTCCTACCCTCACAAAGGTCCAGGGAGGGCTGTCTGGAATCCTCACAAGCTCACCACTGCCTACAGGCCTTGCCCGAGCAGGGAACATCCTCCCTGAAACTTGCCTGGGTCACAGCACCCTCACTGAGTGCCTACAGGGTCTGCGGTGTTGGGCAAGGCCAGACTGGAAGCCTTCCATCCCCTTTGCCCAGCTTCCCTCTCCTCTGGGCCTCCCCTCTGCCTGGCAGCTGGTATTGGCAGCACCAAGAGAGGAGCCAGCCTGGTTGCTCAGTCAAGGCCCAGCTGGGCCAAGACCATGTGTCCTGGGGGGGAATCATTTTCTTCTTCCCTCCCTCCCTAATGCCTTCTTGGATCTGCCCTCTTCTCTCCATTCCCTCCCCCAATCCACTGCCCCACTTTCTTGCCCCTCCACTACCTCCCCTACTTTCATTCTTTTTACTTCAGAGAAAAACTGAAGTTTATAGCTGCAGAAGCTAGAATGTCTGGGTCCCACACACACACTGCCACGTGTGGTCTCAGTCCCTTAGTTGGCAGGATCATGAGGAAAGGAATTGAAAACCACAATGGGGTTCTTGAAGGACTGGAGAAACCTTGCTCCTTAGCAAAGTTAGATGTTCTGCAGGGGAGCCCTAGGGAGGAGAAAGCACACTCTCTCCCTGCCTCCCTTCTTCGTCCACTCTGTGCAGGGAATTTGGCAGAGGAGGGTCAGACACACAGAGCTGGGGGTCACGTGGAATGAGAGTCAAGTGTCAGAGCTGGAAATGACCATAAAGATGATTTTACAAATGGGCAAAGAGAGGCTGGAGAGAGGAAGTGACTTGGCCAGTGTCACGCAGCCTGTCAGTGGTGGATCCAAACCCACTGCCACATGGTGGGTGGGTCCAACTTGGCACCTGTGCCCTCCAGCCTCTCACTTCCAGCAGGTAAGTCAGTCGGTGGGAGCAGATTCCTTGGGTTTCCTCTGAGCCACGTCTAGAGGGCAGAAGACCACCCTTGCCATGCACCCATATCTGGTCATCTGGGGGGGGGTGGGCGATGGCTCCAGAGTAGGGGCCCTGCCTGCCCACTTCCAGGCAGCCTCCTCCCCGGGGCCTGCAGAGGCCTGCTGCTCCAGTGGGCAGCCCCACCCACCAAACATCTGGCTGGGTTGGGCTGGGCGGGGCTGGGCTGGGCTGGGGAGTAGTCCTGCGTCGTAAAAAGCTAGGTACCAGTGACCAAAACTGGAGTGTTTGGCCTAAAAGAATGTGCCGCAGTGCCTTCTGAGCCCTCATGTGCCCCCTCCTTGTGTCCAGTGCCAGCAGCTCTTCCCGGCCGACCTCTGGCTCTCTCCCCATTTGGCCTCTCTATCCAGGAGGCCCTGAAGCCCTGTGTCCTTCCTTGCATGTTTCCTCCTCTTGCTTTTTGCTTTTTTCCTTCCTTTTGATTCTTTCTCTCTAGGTTTCTCTGGTTCTGATTCTGTCTGGGTTTCTCTCCATTTCTTTGGGCCTCTGTTCTCCCTTTGAGATGCAGGGGAAGGGAGAGGGGCCTTGAAGCTTTCCCGGGATGGGCAGAGGCCACCCGAGGGAGCAGAGGAGGGAAAGGTGTCAGAGCTGGGTTGGGGGCAGAGGTGACTGTGGTCGTGGCTCCGGATAACACAACTACCCGGAAATGTCAAATTTGGGGTTTCTTTTTGCTTTCAGTCCCCTGGTTTGGTCTCTGCTATTTCCCACCACAAAGCACCGTGGTGGTTTTAGGGGCCCAGACTATAGAGGAGAAAACTGAGGCATAGGGGATGGGGTTCAGGAAGATCAGAAACTGTCTAGTGTCTGGACTGAGCTGGGGTCCCATGCTGGCCTCCCCTAACTGCCCCTCATCCCCAATTCCAAGTCACAGCATTACATGTGGAGTGAGGAAGGATTAAAAAACATCTCATGGGAATACCTTCCCCCAAAGAAGGCTGACCATATTTTGTTAAGAGTAATAATAATTCCCAGCCTAGTTTGTAGTTAGCACACCATGCACGTATCCTGAACTGAACTGTGCCACGTTCGTGTGCAAACATGGTTGTACTTTGCAACTCATCCCATCCTGGCGACAGCCTTGAAGGAGAGCAGGGCCAGAATCATCCCCTTTAATTAGTCCAGGAAAGGGACCTGTCCACCACTGGCACCAGGATCCAAGTTGCCTGGCGCTATGGGCCGGGTCTCAGTACAGTCAGTCATGTGTCACTTAATGACAGGGATAAGTCCTGAGAAATGTGCTGTTAAGTGATTTTTGTCGTTGTGCGAACATCACAGAGTGTACTTACACAAACCTAGATGGTATGGCCTACTACATTCCCAGGCTATATGGTACTAATCTTATGGGACCACTGTCCTATATGTGGTCTGTCATTCACTGTGACCACATTCACATATGGCTACATGTCATTCACATGAAACGTCATGTGGTGCATGACTGTATAACTTTCTCGGCTTCCTGAAGCCCCAGCACAGAGCAGAGTGGAAATGCCTCCTTTGGCTGGTCATGCCACCATTTTTCTGTGGCATGGAGCATGGCACCTCCATCCGCATGCCAGTCAACACCCTTGCTCTGCGGAATGAGGCAGTGTGACCTGTGTGGTATGCGAAGGTGGGTTCGAGTTCATGGAGGAATGGTCCGGTTTCTGGCCTGCGCTTGGAGACAGGGTTAGCTGAGAAGGCCCTGCTGATGCCCCTACCCTGGGGAGAACAGATTGAGGTCACCTTGACCTAACTGTCCCTGGGGGGCAGAGGAAGATGGTACAGAGATGCCTTTGTTTCCTCTGCTCCAAGTCCCTTCTTCAAGGAGAGTTCCTGTTGTGTGGGAGCCAGAGGGGAGGTGGGGTGGGGGTGAAGAGCCTTCCCAAGCAAGCTGGAGGCATTCAGGAGGTAGCCCTGTGCCCAGGAGAGCTGAAGCCCTTGGGCTCTTAGATGTCCTGCTTCACCCCCACCTTGCCTCTGCTGGGATTGTCCACTTCCACTCCAGCCCCCAACCCCAAGATTCCTAGAAGTCTATGCTCAGCGTATACCGCACCCCAGGACCACGGTCCCTGCTTCTCCCGGAGTCTCCTCACCCTGGTACCTCCCTCTAGAAATGCTGCCCCCGTTGTTGTCTGTGAAGACAGAGCAGGACCCAGGGAGGATGTGTGTGCATGGTGAGGAATTCTGTGTGAACTGGGGGGAGGGGAAGGAGCTGCTGGCTCCCAGGTAAAGCCGGTCCACCCAATCTGCCTCTGTCCCTTGTCCTCTGCCACTCTTCAGGGAAGTCAATTTACAGTGAAGTCACCAAGAGAACACAAGGCCATCTAGCCTGAGGCATAGCCACTGTCCTCTGTTTCTGGGAACAGGTGAGGGAGGAGTGCAGGGCTGACGGTGAGTGGGAGGGGAAATCCTGCCTTCTTCTGCCCAGCTGCCCTGTCCACCCGCCTTGGGAGAGCTGCTCGCAGGACCCCGAGAGGAGGGGCGCACCGTCTGTGCTGAGCGCATGTTTCCTACTGGGTCAGGAGGGCAGGAAGGAGCCCACCTTCCTCATCGCAGGGCTGAGCCTGGTGAGGGAGAGGAGAGGGGGGCCACAGGCCCAGAGCTGGGCAGCTGAGTGGGACTGACTGAGGTCCTGAGCAGCCCTGGGTCTAGTCTGGCTCCCATCCTCATCCATAGAGACTACCAGGCTCCTATTCCTGCTAAGCTAGTTTCTTCTCCAGCCCAACAAGAAATCTTTTGTGCCTCAGCCAGCCCAGTATCGAACCTCAAGCCCTCTGGGGGTTGTGTGGGAGAGGACCGTGGGGCTCCTTCCTGCCATCCCCACTGCTCTGCCACTTTCCTTTGTTATGACTGGAGGGGGTTCCTTTCTCTCTGTCTCTGTTTCTCATTGTTTCCTGGTTTATCACGTGCACAAGCCCACCCACATCTTCCCTGTCCACTCCCCTGCTCCCCACCTCCAAAACTGGCTCCCCAGTTCCAGGAGCCAGTGGGGCACATAAAACCAAAATGAAGAAGGGCCAATGCCCCATCCCCTCCTCACTGGCTACTGGCCTGTTCTTCATTTGCTGCTCTGATCAGCCCCAATCGTGGGCCTTCCGTTCACTCCATGCTTCAGCCGTACAGTTCTGCCAGTGTGCTGACCTCTCTCAATGGCAAGTTTTTCCCCCCTATTCCACCTACCTAGAATGCCATTCCTCCCTTGGCCACCTGGTGACATTTTCCTCATCTTTCATAGGGTCAGTGTGGCATAGAGGAAAACATAAAGGCTTTGGAGTCCTAAGGACCTGGTGCCAACCCT